TTTTGGGTCTTCTGATAGAGTAAAGCTGAACATCTAGTTTCCTTCCTTCAGGGGCACCCTGTTTACAACACCTGATTCATTGGCAGAGCCAAAGTATTGACCCTGGCTCATTAGATACAGTTTATCTCCTGAAGACCAACAGGCAGGAAGGTATCACCTATCATTTGGGCCATGGTTCTTTTATATATTTATAAATAGATACTAGATGGTATACATATCCAACTGCCATTCTTGGCAGTTTTTCTAAATCTTCCTCTCAAGACTTAGCCGTTTTGTTCTTGGCAAGTGGGGATAAAGAAGAGAACAGAGTCCTTCTGACGTCCCCATGGGATGTCCTGAGTACTGATAGCACCATTTTCCTCTCCTTCCAGACAAGCAGAGAGAAAAGATGTAATGCAGGTTCAGCCAAACCCACTGAATGGCACTCTGCCATGATGACTCATCTTGCCTTGAAGCAATCTTACACCCTTTGTGAAACTAGGTCCCTTTTGGTTGAAGGAAGAGAGGCTCCTCCAGAGCTGTCAATCACTGCCTGAGTAAGCAGCAACAACTGAAGGACTTAGAGGATCAGGTTAACACACCCGTCTTCAAACCTTACTATAGATCTGTTCACCCTCCCACTCAGGAAGTCAGTGTGTCCCTTGAGTATGCTTGTGCAATCTTTGTTAGAATAATAATCCAAGAGAAATGAAACCCAATGTGGTGACAACAGGTGTGCTTAGTTCCCTCGATCCTACTCCTCCCTTGGGGATCACTACTGCTAGACAGCATAGGCACCAGCTGATGGCTTTGTCCTGGCTCTCCCATAGCTTAAACACCACTTGAATGTGTGTGCATATGCTACACAAAGAAAAACCAACTGAGGATTTCTGCCACTGTGGAAGAAAAGTAAGAATGAAGGCCACTGTGTTTGTGTATTAGTGCCCCCCCTCCAGACTGGCATATCGTATTCCCTGGCAGGCTACAGAGACTTCACCCATCCACTGGACACCTTGAACTTTAGTAAGCATAAGACTGTGGCATACACCTGTCACCCCAGCACTCAGAAGGATGAGGCAGGAGAATTGTCAGATCTGGGACAAGCTTGAGCTGTTTAGTGTGAGACACTGTCTCAAAAAAAAAAAAAAAAAAAAAAAAAATAGTAGCTGGCATGGTGGATCTCTGAGTTTGAGGCCAGCCTGGTCTGGTCTAAGAGCTAGTTCCAGGACAACCAGAGATACACAGAGAAACCCTGTCTTGAAAAACAAAACAAAACAAAAGATTTGATATAATAAATTCTGAAGTGGTTGTTCAGCCTGTGTTGTCTTAGACTCAGACTGACTCAGGAAATCTGCTTATACGATCTAAGCAGACGCCTCAGTAATAAGCATCTGCAGTGATTTTGGAAGATGCTGCTTTGCACAGTATACAAATGTCTTATCTCTGTCCTCTGTCCTTCCTTTTTAGTCCACACTGTGCCACAGAGAATTTGGGTAGGAGTTGCATTAGTTAGCAGATAACCTGGGGGTCAGTGTGCAATAAAATGTTTCTGCGCCTTAAACAAGCAAAGCTTTGAGCAGGGCCCCCAAATTCCTGCTTTGGGGTTCCAAAAGCTCCTGGATTAGTACACTGTGGACTTACCTAGTGAGAACATGCTACACATGCCTGCAGCTTGTGTAGGACCCTTCCCTTGGGTGTGTTATGCAGTCTCACCTGGATGTTTACAGTAATTACATGCTGGCTATCTGAGCCTTAGAATCTTGTGGGTATCAGAGCCTGGCTACCCTCTCTGGACTAAGGGCAGGTAGGACAAAGGCAAAATATACCTTTTCTAAAACCAGGCTGAGGAGAAGTTTGGGGCTATGGTGTGTGTCCATGGTCAAGCCAAACCCTGTCTCATTGGCAACCTCCCCTGGGATAGGAGTGAGGTTCAGTGGTGACATAATTACTCTTTTACTTTACTTGTCCTAGTCTAGTCTCACTGAATAATAATCAGATGCATCGGGCAGAGGCTTGTAGCAGAAGAGTCTGCAGTCACCCTTGCCCTTTCGTTCAGTGTGCCTCTGTCTTCTGGGAAGAAGGACCCATGCCATGGTGTCACGTAGCTAGTGTTTGGTTTTAACTCTACCAGAGCATGCCTCCACTGCTAACATTAAGTCAGGTAACAGTGGGGTAGTGCAGATTTTATACATGTTGATTTTAAGAAAGTGTCATTACAGTTCCAGCCTAAGCAACACTGTTGTTGGTGGGTAGCGTGTGGGAGGGAGATAGCGTTTGTGTGGGATGTTTGAACACACGGAGAGCTGTCTATGTAGAAATGCTAACCAGGCTAGGCTGTTGGGGCAAAAGCCCAGTGTTGCAAACTTGGAGTGACCAAGATGGTTGAGAGGAAAGCCCACACTTGAATTGTGACCTTTTATTTTATTTTAGTTTTTGGTTTTCTGACACAGAGTTTCTCTGTGTAGCCCTGGTTATCCTGAAACTCTCTTTGTAGGGCCACACTGGCCTCAAACTCAGAGATTGCCTGCCTCTGACTCCTTAGTGATGTAGTGTTAAAATGAAAGGCCTAAGCTATCACTGCCTAACAAGTTGTGACATTTTGATGAGAGAGAGAGAGAGAGAGAGAGAGAGAGAGAGAGAGTGTGTGTACACACGTGTGTGTTTAGTGTCTCACTATAGTCCTGGTCAGCCTGGAACTTGTGTAGATCAGTCTGGCTTTGATCTCACAGATCTCACAGCACTGCTAAGTGCTGAGATGAAGGCTGTGCACCACACACCTGTGCACCACACACCTGTGCACCACACACCTGTGCACCACCACACCATTGTTGTCTCCAGTGCAGTATTCCATATTTCTGAATTTTATGATCATTATTATTAGTTTTATAATCAAATTTAAATGTTGTTGAAATACAGTTGTAATATAAATACATGGTAATGATGGAAAACTGCCCTAAAAACAAGTGGAATGATACTGTGCACCTTAGTCACCTTGAAAAACATTTTGAGTCCTTCAAACATTTAAAAATTGGCTCTGTTTAAAAATAAGTTTTCCTGCCCGGGCAGTGGTGACACTCACTTTTAATCCCAGTCCTTGGGATGCAAAGGCAGGAGGATCTCTGTGAGTTCAAGGCCAGCCTGGTCTACAGAATGAGTTCCAGGATAACCAAGGCTGTTACACAGAGAAACCCTGTCTCAAAACCACCCAAAAAATAGATAAAAGTTTCCTAAGACTGGTAGCTCACTCATATCCTAAAACTTGGGAGGTATAGGCCAGGGAGGTGGGGGAGGATCACAAGCTTGAAGCCCGCCTGGGCTACCCAGTGAACTTTAAACCAGCTTGGGCTGAAAGCAAACAAACCTAAAAGCCAAGGCAAATACTTAAGTAGGGAAATTTAAAAGTGAAATCTTAAATGTCACCTTGAGACTAGAAAAATGGAAAAATGTAGAATCTAAATGTTAGTACAAATGAGTAGATTTGCATTATGAGCAATTTTTTTCTCCTTTGTTGGTATTTGAAAAGATGGTGGACAGTTCATGACAAGATGTTTAGACTGATGGATCAGCTCTTTGTGTGGCAGTTTTGAAAACATACTTAGTGGTATTAGCCTACCAAATTGCTGCTCATTAATGACCTGTTTGTCAGGAATTTGTCATCTATTAAATCACTTTTTTGGGTGAGGATTATTTTTCTAAGGGGCCGTGTACTCTCTAGTGTTTTTGCTTGAAGGTAAAAAGTACTTATTACATCTCCTCCTTGCCTTATTGAAAAGGATTAGGGCTGCCATAAATCCTGTCATTGATGCTAAAATTGTCTTAACTTCAAAGATACTCCAGGTTCTCTGCAGAGAGTTCTAAATTAATTTTTTTCTTAAAGAAACAGACACTTTACTTCCAAGGCTGATGGGAATTTGTGTTTGTTCTCTTTTCAACTGGCAAACAAGAATATAGTTAATAGTATTTTAGTATATAAATAGAATTACTTTATTTCCACATTAAAATGATTTTAAAAGAACACATTGTCACTTTGCAATGATAGCAGTTCACTTTGTATTCCCAACTGCAGATTAATCATGTGTTGACAAGAGCATGGATGGGAAGTATTTTTTGCTCCTGGTAAAATTCATGATCCCAGATATTGAAATCATGTTAAAATAAGTACCATATATAGAGATGGCTATAGCATCATGAAAAGTGATCAGCATGGATATGAAGTGTAGAACTAAACTCAGCACTTCTTCCTGTGCACCTACTCCTGACCCCTTAAAAAGTATCACCCCTGTCTTTTACTTACGTCTGTGGAGGAACTGAATTTAACAACATGAAGTTTTATAAAGAAATAGTACTTCCTTCATTGGCTCCCAAGCACATTCACACATGGTAGGTGGGAAGACAAAACTCAGTTGGCAGAGCTTCTGAACAACTCCCTTGGTAACAGGGAGACATTTTTTAGCAGTTAGCCTACAACCAGTAGAAGGACTGAGCTGGGTAGCTCAGTAGTCTCTATGGACCTCAGAGGACAACTGATCAAAGCCAGGCTTGATACCAAGCATGTGTACCCACTGAGCATCTTACCGGCCCACATGCTACTTTTCAAAAAAGATTTATTTATTTGTGTGTATGTGTATGCATATGCACGTGCACACAAGTACCCATGGAGGCCAGAAGAGGGTATTGGCTCTCCTGGAGCTGGAGTCACACTGACACAGGTGCTGGGAACTGATCTTTGTTCCTCCACAAGAGCGGCTAATCCTCTTAACTGCTGAGCCATCTCCCTAGCTGCCCTCTTTCCCCATGTATTAAGTCAGAAAATACCTTTAAAGTAGAAAATATTGTTTGTTTTTGAAACAGTTTCTCTATAGCCTGGCCGCCCTATAACTTACTACCTAGATAAGACTGCCTGCTCCTACCTCCCAAGTTCTGGGATTAGAGGCATGCACCACCACTGCTTGAAGAAAATATTTTTTAGAATTTATGTTGCAAGAATTACTATCTTGATTTTGTCCTTTTTAAAATTTCAGTCTTGGCCCGATTATGAAGACATCTATAAAAACATGATTGAAGTTGCCATATTTTTAGATTTGCCTCGTTTTCCAGACGTAACCGAAGACTGCTACCTTCATCCCAACATCTTGTGCATGAAATACTTACTGGAGCTCAATCTCCCTGGTGAGCTGAGGTGTGCAGGGAGGGGGCTTTACCTGAGTTGTGTTAAGCAGAACTGAGGGCCTTTCTTTCCTCTGCAGACCTCTTAAGCCACCCTAGGGAGTCCATAGTAACAGGGACTTAATTCAAATGCTCTCTTAAAAAAATGATTCAGACCACGCATTGTGGTTAAAGGACACTGGTCAGGAACATTTCTGTTTCTGTGTGACATACGCCTGGGAAAACTTGTGTGGCTCCTGTGGCAGGTTGACTAAGTGCAGGCAGGGCAGCAAGTATCTCAGTGTGGACTAATTCAGAACAAAAATGCCAGCCAAATGTGATGTCAGCCCTTGATAGGTGAGGGAGCCAGAGCTCAAGGCTGGACTGAGCTAGCAAGGGACCTGGAGGCTAACTCACTCACATAATACTTGAACCCTGGTAACTTTTGCAAGTTCCAGGCCCCAAAGCCACAGAAAACGGTGTGAACAGCCCAGTGGGCTCTTGAGGACAGCGAGGAGTGTGATGAGAGTCTCAGCCACTTTATGCAGAGAATGTGTCAGGCAACTCTGATGCAGCATGTGACTCCAGGCAGCCCTGATTTCATACCAGACTAGAAATAGAAGTCTTGGACTTTTATTGTCTGTTTGGTTGGATTTTTTTGTGAGGGATACAGGAAGGGTTGAGACAGGGCCTGTCTTTATAGCATTAGCCTGGAGCTCACTATGTAGACTAAACTGGCCTGGAACTCACAGAGATCCTTCTACCTCTGCCTCCTGAGTGCTGGGACTATAGGGGTCAGTCTATGCTCAGCCTCGGTGACTATTGCCGAATTACCACAATTCATTTCCCTTCTCCTGCTTTATTGTAGATGGCTATGTTGAATTCCTAGTATAGCAGGTTAGGGAAAGCAGTTCAGATTATAATGTGACAACTCTATGTGTTGGAATTCAGATTACAAACCATCCATCCATGTAGGACATCTTTGGGGAGTCACCTTAGCACCTAGACAGGCCTGACTGGAAAAGCCTGCTGATGGTACCCAGGTCTTAGAAGCCATTGGTATAGCCACAGCCTATGACACAAAAATCAGCCAAGAGAAGCTTGTGATGCAAAATGGGGACAAGAACTGTTGAGGTTAGTGTACCAAAGAGCTGTGTAAAACAGAGGCAGATGACACCGTAGGCGTTAGGGAAATCTGAGTGCTGCTGGGGCCCCGTTTTTGATCAGGGGTCTGAGCTGATTGTTACATCTTTATGGGGCGAGCAGGAGAGAGCCCAACTCACAAGGGAGCCAGAGACAGTCCATGATGGAGATCAGACAGGGATGGGTATCAGTCAGCATTGAGCCGAGTGCTTTAGGTTGGTTCGTTCACATCACATTCATAACTAGCGACCCTTTGCCATGTGCTCCATGGAGGGAGTGAGGTCAGTAGGCCTAGAGATCCATGTAGACTCTGTGTGAGCTTAGTGCTTTTCCTCAAAGCCCATCTTACTGCAGTTAGAAGAGGCTGTGGTATATCTGTTATATGTAGGTTAGTGAGGAATATTGCTTAATAACTTAAAATTTTCAAAGAATATTCATCTGTATAATCATTTAATCTCACTTTATTCTCTCACAACCCACTTAACAAAAGAGGAGGCTATGGCTAGGTATAGTGGTTCACACCTGTAATCCCAATCACAAATTTAAGGCAAGCCTAAGCTATACAGCAAACCCTGTCTTTAAAAGAAAAAACAAAACAAAAAAAAAACAAAAAAGTAAGCAAACTGAGGCTATGTGACTCTAGTCATGTGGCTACTGATTGAAAAGGTCCTGGGGGTTCCAGGTTTAAGTCTCTCATGACTCTGCCTTTATGCTGCAGACACAGCCCATGCTGAATGCAGTTTCTTTGAGAAGGCAGAACATCTATCTGGGAGCTTGCTGAGCCTCTAGGGCCCACCATACATGGCACCTGGCAGCCCAGTGCTTCTTGGAAGTCTAGTACACACACACACACACACACACACACACAGGTAAGCATGCCTTGCTGTAGAGACACAGGCAAGGGACTTGTATGGGACAGCACAAAGCTGATATGTGGCTGTTTGCATGAGACCCAAAAGTGTCCCACACATAAATGTTTTAGAGTGTCAAGTAGTCTTACCAAGACTCACCTATTACTGTTTCTATACTGGCCTTATCCATCTTTTAGTGTTATTTTTATGTTTTAGTATTATTAGTGTGTTTTGTTTTTCAACAGATGAAATGCACAGTTTAACCTGCCAAGTGGTAAAGATGACTGGAATCGGAGAAGTGGATTTTCTGACATTTGATCCTATAGCTAAAAAGAAAAGGACAGTTAAATATGATGTGCAGGCTGTGGCTGTCATTGTTGTTGTGTTGAAACTGCTCTTTTTGCTGGATGACAAATTAGAATGGTAAGTAGATGGAGTGGCTCTTTATGACGACTCCATTTTTCTGCTTTTTAAACAATGGAAAGAAGCGTTGCTATTGCTAGTCACTCAGATTTCGGGAATCCAGTGTTTCCTCAGCAGAATGTAAAGTCTGGTGTGCTGTAGCCATGAGGATTTCTAGAAAGTACTCAGGTACCTGATTATGCCTGTTTCTGAGCTAGCAGCATTTCTCATCACCCTACATATTTCTGATTTTTAAAACATCATACTTTGGCCAGGCAGTGGTGGTGCATGCCTTTAATCCCAGCACTAGGAAAGCAGAGGCAGGCGGATCTCGATCTCAGTGAGTTCAAGGCCAGCCTGGTCTACATGAGCAAATTCTAGGACAGGCTCCAAAGTTACACAGAGAAACCCTGTCTCGAAAACCTAAAGACTAAATTAAATTAAAATAAAACACCATACATTGTAAAGAAGAATTAGGTACCGTATCAGGATGTCCTTAGTCTCCTGGCACCCAATCTCTCAGAGATTCCTTTAGGTCATAAAGAAACTTTGCAATGTTATTGTCTTAACAGTCACAAGGAATGAAGATTCTTGGTGTCTTCTTTCAGGATAGTGATTGCCTCTCCAGCTTTTGTACTTTCTCCTCAGAATTCAAAATTAGCTGTCCAAGTTGGGTGTGGTGGCCACGCCTTTAATCCCAGCACTCAGGAGACAGAGGCAGGCAGTCTCTGAATTCTAGGCCAGCCTGCCTGGTCTATAAAGAGAGTTCCAGCTCAGCTGGAGCTACACAGTGAGACCCTGTCTCAGAAAACCAAAATAAAATCAAATTTCCATGTCTAACACATATCATCTAAAGAAGTTCCCTTGCGTGTTGTTGCCAACAGGTCCTACTCTGGCCTTGCTGAAGCATATAATGAAGAACACACAGAAGGTACATGGGTTTTGTCTCCATCAAATTCAAAGTGGTTGTAAATGATGGGTTAAAAGGTATTCAGTGTGGAGGAAAATGGTGGACAGTCACATGCGGGCGTCCGTATGTGCACAAACTGTGCCTTGTCCATCTGGAGAGCTAATTGTCATTTGTGTTCATTCTTGTTTGCGGCTCACTAGCCAGACCATGAGCTTCTACAGCAGCTTGGTTCCTGGGGCTGCCTGCACTGGCCCCTGCACATAAAGTGCTCTTTTTTTGGTATTCCCACAGCCCTTCAGACTCAGCAAGTCTGCCTCCCATACCTGCTCACTTCACACCAGCCAGGGTTGATCACACTTGCCCTACCACCATTGCTGCTGTGCAGACTTCCACTGCACATGTAGCATGTGGATTATAACTCATGGCCTAAGCATACCTGTCCCTGTTAGCCTGCCGGTGTTTATAAACTCTTAGGTGATTGCCTACTGCACTGTGCAGGCAGTAAGAAGAAAGATAGCTACCATGGATTGAACGCAGGGCTTCACGCATGGCTTGGCCAGCTCTCTCCCACTGAAGTGTACCCCAGCCTTTTTGCATCTTTATTTTAAAACAAGGTCTCGCTAAATTGCCCATGTTGGTCTGTGTTCTTTTGTACTTGGCCTATGATCCTCCTGCTTCAGCCTCCCAAATAGCTGGCTTGCAATCCAGTGCCACCATGTTTGTATTTGATTTTTAAAAAGTTTATCTTTGCTGCAGAACAGAGTTACTAACCCATGAATAACTCAGTGCAGTTTTGTGTCTACATGAATTCTTAATTCAGGTACAGTTCCTGTTTGTAGACAGATTTTTGTTCATTAGTTTTTGGAGTTTGGGTTTAATAGTCTCAGCTCATACATTTTCCATAATGTATGTGAAGTGAAGCATTTTTTCCTGTCCAGTGCTTACAGGAACATGTGCATAGGGTTGAACTAGATGTCCTCTGATGTTGCTTCACTGCTAGAGGTGACAGTTATATGGGCGTGGCTAAGAGAGCACTTTGACTTGTCCTTGTAGACTTCACAATGAGTCTCCCATCAACAGCACCAGGATTTTATTCCATGTTCTCAACTTCCCTGTGTGCTGTCCCTCCATCCCTTCATCCCTCTCTTACAAGGACATTGGGGTCAGAGAAACTTTGGCTCTGTCCCCTTTGCTCCTGTCATGAGGAGATTGGGGATCAAGAACTGGAGTTGACATAACCTCATTGTCCTCTGGCCTTCCAGTCCTTTGGGTGGTTCCCTCTCCTCTAGCTGTAAGGCTTACAAGGCTGTGTTGTATAGTGATACTGATCAGCTGGAAAGATTTGTAATTAGACATTAAAGAGGCCATTCTTACTAGAGGATAACAGATAGTTGTCTTGTTTATACTTGCCATGTCCGAGTCGGTTGTCTCTCTAGTCCATGTCTCTGCTTCACACTCCAGCAATCAGACTCTGTGAATTAGGAGTATGAAGAACAGAAATAGGCCCTGAGGAGAATGCAGTCTGGATTTGTCCACAATAGGATCACTTCATATAATTATCAACCATTTACTTCTCAACACAGTTGACAGGGGTGTGGAGTACCACCAGGAGTTAGGCCGCAGGTGCTGGGTGTGGGAACTGGGGAGAGGGGGTCTGGTTGTGTAGCAGCCTTCTCCAGGAAGCAGCAGAACACCTTTAAAGTCTAGGAGAACCATGTGTAAAAAGATTGTTTGAGGATGGTCTTGTGGGGCCACAATATAGGTTGCAACTTAGGGGAGAGCCCCAGGTGGGATGGAGATCCAGTGTGGAGACTGTGGCTCGGCTGCCAGGAGCTGTCATGGTTAGTGTTCTCTTTAGGAATAAACTCAGATATGATAATGTATTGTTTTAATGGATGGACAACACTGCTAAGCATGGATTTTATTTCTTTCAGATAAGCCTCAGTTTGATTTCAGAAAATGGTACCAAGTTATGAAGAAAACTTTTGATGAGAAAAGACAAAAATGGGAAGAAGCAAGAGCCAAGTATGTCCCCCGCCTCTGCCTCACCTACTGTGTGTCCCCCGCCTCTGCCTCACCTACTGTGTGTCCCCCGCCTCTGCCTCACCTACTGTGTGTCCCCAGCCTCTGCCTCACCTACTGTGTGTCCCCCGCCTCTGCCTCACCTACTGTGTGTCCCCAGCCTCTGCCTCACCTACTGTGTGTCCCCAGCCTCTGCCTCACCTACTGTGTGTCCCCCGCCTCTGCCTCACCTACTGTGTGTCCCTTGCTTTGCACTAGTCAGTGTGTTCTTGGTAGCATGTGACCTTCCTTTCTTCGGAAATGTTTATACATCCTAGTTAATTGGGTTTTGGCGGGGAGCAGAAAACATAAATTTATGTGAAAATGGGTTGTCATAGATGTACCAAGAGGCAGGTGTTTAGCATGCCCAGGGACTCTGCCCACACAGACTGTGACTGACATCAATTAGGAGGGGCAGCCATTGCCTATATGTATTAGCACCATCATACACTGTAGAGGGTAGCTTTGGTATGGGATCCTCCAAAAAAAACCTCTTCCTGGCAAATGGATTTTTATAAAAAGACTTACTCCTTTGGGCTGCAAAATACTCCCCTAATATAGCTAAATGTCAGTACTTTGAGATGTGCAGCTGATTCTAACACTGCAGTGTGATTATTTGTTTGTGTGTTTGTTTGTTTATTACTTGGGATGAAACCCAGGCCTCCCTGTTGCTCTAGACATCATCTTTTGAGCTGTCAGATGGTCATTAACACATTTTCTGAAGTTAATTATGATACTTCGTATGAGATCATGAAAAACCAGCTTGTTGGGCTATTTTGAGGGCTACCAGCTACCAGCTTATCACAGGGCAGAGAAGAGCCTGAATGAAAATTTAAAGGCTGGGCTGGGGGAGATGGTGCAGCCAGCAAGCATTAGGATGTGAGTTTGATCCCCAGATGTGGTGAGTACACATCTGGAATCCTAGCACTGGGGAGACAGAGACAAGGAGACCCCTAGGGCTTGCTGGCTGCCCAGTCTAGCCTAGTGAGTAAGCCCTAGATCCCCATGAGAGACCCTGCCTCAAAAAACAAGGAGAAGCTGCTCCTGAGGTTGACCACTGGCCTACACTCAGGTGCATATGTGCACATACAGTAAGAAGAAAGGGAGGAAAGATGAGAGACAGAAAACACTTGCTAGTCTCTTGGGTTAGGCAAAATTTTCTTAGGTATAACATCAAAAGCATTATCCATAAAAGAGAAATTGGTAAACTTGACTGTAGAGGGAAAATTTTTCCAAAGATGCTTAAAAGAAAACAAAACCTAGACTTAGAGAAAACAGTTAGAAGCAGGGCATAGTGGCACATTCCTTTAATCCCAGCACTCAAAAGGCAGAGGCAGGCAGATCTCTGAGGTCAGGGCCACCCTGATCTTCAGAGTGAGTTCCAGGACAACATCAAAAGCGTGATCCATAAAAGAGAAATTGGTAAACTTGACTGTAGAGGGAAAGTTTTTCCAAAGATGCTTAAGAGAAAACAAAACCTAGACTTAGAGAAAACAGTTAGAAGCTGGGCATGTTGGCACATTCCTTTAATCCCAGCACTCAAAAGGCAGAGGTAGGCAGATCTCTGAGGTCAGGGCCACCCTGATCTTCAGAGTGAGTTCCAGGACAGCCAGGGCTACATAGTGAGACACTGTCCTGGGGGAAGGGGGAGCCAAAGAGAGTAGTTGAAGATCACATATATGTTGGGAGGCAGAGGCAGGCGGATCTCTGTGAGTTCAAGACCAGCCTGGTCTGCAAGAGCTAGTTCCAGGACAGGGTCCAAAGCCATAAACAAACCCTGTATTGAAAAACCAAATAATAATAATAATAAATAAAGAATTCATAAAAATAGGAAAACAACTCAATTTTCCAAATGAAAAGAACTGAAGATATACAGGATACACAAGCAAAGATGCCTACTGTAATGAGAAAGGGGTTCATTTTCAAACTGCAGTTGTACATACCAAGCACAGCAGTATAAAATGGTATAGCTACTTTAAAAAGTTCAAGTGAAATGAAAATTTATCTTCCCACAGAAGTCCATATAGAAATGTTTGTTGTTACTTTGGCTAGTTAGGAGACAGAGTAACAAGCATGTCCATGCCACACAGCCCACTGAAAGTACAAACTAAAGCCTCTGAGCCAGCCAGCAGTGAGTCTTAGATGCTAAACAGAGGACTCAAAAGCTGCATGCTGTATGAGTCTATTTATATCACATTCTCAAAATGGCCAGGCTTACAGAATAAAGACGGTGGCTTCCCAAGATCAAGGGTGTGGAAAGGATCAACTACAAAGGGATCTGTTTGGAGTGATGGGATTGTTCTGTGTATGAGTCACAGTGGTGATTACACAGCTATATGTGAATGCTAATTGGAAGTGCTCTGAAAGGGGTTTCATTATATGTAAATTATACCTTGATCCTTTCTTTCAAACAGTGAAACAAACTATGTAAAGGTAAGGGAAGCTTGTAGATAAGGTCTAGCTAGAACCCAAGTTCTTGGTGGCGTATCTGTTTGGGAACCTTGCGTAGCAGGCAGAAGGTGTCCAGACAGTTGGAACTTTGTGATCTTCAGTCCCTGGCCCATTTGGGGGCATGTGGTCTGAGATGGTAGTAATGCCACCTTGATTATGGTGGTGGGCACTTAAGTAGGCCTTCATTATCAGTGCACAAGAAACACCTGTCTAGACCCAACTCCTAAGGACAGCTTAGAGTGGGTATTCCTGGGAACGTGACCCTCTAGGGTACTTGGAACACTTATCACTAAAGAAAATAAATGACAATTTAAGAAAGCTGTCTTAGAGAATCAGAGCCTCACTGTAGAGCTAAATGACCACCTCTCTGATGTTTTGTTGTTGTTTGTTTGTTTGTTTTTACAAGACAGGGTTTCTCTGTGTAGCTCTGGCTGTCTTAGAACTGGCTTTGCAGCCAGTATGGCCTCATACTCAGATATCTGCCTGCCTCAGCCTCCTGAGTACTGGGGTTACAGGCATATGCCACCATGCCCAGCTAATTTGAATTTTTTTTAATCTTAGAGAAAAATCTCAGTTCTTAAATTGGATAAAGTGATATTTGTAACTTAATCCTAACACCACTGAACAGTCTATGTGTAAATATATTTTATTAACTAACACTTAAAAATGAGGGGAGATTGCCAATTGTTAAGTTTTATAGGCAAATGGAGACATTTGTGTTTCTGGCTTCCTGCTCCTTAGTGTCTATTCTAGAAAGTTATAGTTTGTTTCATAAGTACTTCTGAGACAGGCACTTTACCAAGCACTAGATTTGCCACATCTAGTGAGTACATAGGGTCCATACAGTGTAATTTGATGGCTATTTTTCTTGTTATTAAGACAGAATCTCATGTAACTCTGATTGGTCTCGAATTCATCATGTAGCTCAGGCTAGCCTTGAAATCCTGATTCTTATACTTCTTAAGTATTGAGATTATAGACCTGTACTATCACTTCTGGCAGCACATAGCAACATGCATGTCACCTTCTTTTTTTTTTTTTAAGGCAGGGTCTCATCATGTAGTCCTGGCTGGCTTGAACTCACCTCACCTCTGCATTCTGAGCACTGGGACTAAAGGTGTATGCAACCACTATTCCAGGCCTCACAAATATGATGCAAATTATGCTCATAACATTCCTAAGAGGAGGAAACGTACAGATGCTAAGTGTGTTTGTTAGCTGATTTATTCATCTATTCAATTATTAACAAATACTTAAGTTGAATGCCTACTGTGTGCCATCCCATCCATTATTAATGAACACTTAAGTTGAATACTTACTGTGTGCCCCAGAGGGCATAAAGGAGACAAGACAGCCTTGTGCCTTCCAGAACCTCCATGGTCACTTGGGCTGCTGGACACTTGCAGAAGCAAACCAGCCCCTCTGATCTCAGTGTCCTTGTCTGCTGTCATGGTGTCTCTATGTTTTGGTGGCTCCAGTCAAAGTGAATTTGTATTTTGGTTTCTGGAAGTCTCATACTTTATAAAGCACAGGAGGGATGGTATAAGCTGAGAAGCACATCATTATCCTGTCCCACACCAGCAGCCTCTGCTGGGCTTTTTGCTAACTTCGTGGATCATAAATAGTTAAGCCACTATTCATTTCTGGTCACCAGTCACCTTCAGGAATACTAGATAACACTTAGCCTATGCCATGGGGTGGGGGATGGGAGAACCTGTGGACCAGGTCAGCCCAGCACCCCTCTGCAGTGAACACACCTGACTGGATCAGGTTGCCTGGGCATGGGCATGTTCTTAGGTCTATCATGCCGGAGCCTGGATGTTTCCTGCCCCTTCTCACCAGGAAGAGGGGAGATTTCCAGGCACAGTGTGCCAGAGAGATTAGCACTCACTGTCTAGCCCTTGGCCATGGGCATTTGGGGCAAAGGCAGGAGAAACGGCAGTGAGAGGAGTAAACATCAAGGGCACGTGTGGTGATGGAAGTGGTCTCTTCTGTATTCTGTATAAGAACTCCTAAAGGGAGCAGTACTCCTACTCACTGGGGACACAGAAGCACTGAGAGAATGCAGACAAGTGCCCAGGGCCACTGAGCCTCAGGTCTGGGCACCGCCTCTGGAATGAGTATGGACATTCGCTTCTCATTCTGCTCCTTCTTTCCTGTCCTGTACAGATATTCTTGGAAAACCAAAAGACCGATCTACCGTTCACACATCGACAAGTCCGTAGCATATAAGAGAAGAGGTGAGTCTGCTGGTTTTCTTCGTGTACCAGGACCAGTACAGTTTGGGATGACCAACCGTCTGTACATGGAAAGCCAGTGCATGAACACGCTCCATGGGATGCTCTCATGTCTGTCTCTTTCCAATGGAGAAACCGCATAGAAATCCACATTCCAGGAACTTGCCTGCCTCTGCATAGCAGAGCTTAAGGGCCCAGCAAAATCTGAGATCATCTGTTTGTGTGACTGTGAGAGCTGTTGGAAGCTTGCCCTGAGACTGTCTGGTGTCATTTTTTTTTTTTTTAATCATTGTTAAAGTAACTTACTTCCTGAGGCCCCTCATGCAGCTCCAGCCTCTCCTAATGCTACCTGTTTGTTACTGTGTTCATGAAACCAGCTGGGTGTGCATGTGCACTGGGGAGGCTGAGGGAGGGAGGTAGCTCCAGAGTTGGGGGCCAGATTGCCCCATCCCCAGAGGCTAAGAACTAGTCCATTCTTATAAACTGCACATTTTACTTGTGAAATAACATTTGCCGTTGCCTTCCATCTGCAGAAATGGTGGAGAATCTTCAAAAGCAATTTAGTGCCCTAGTTGGTTCAACACCTGTGGTTGAAAAGAAGAACCCTTCGAGTTTTCAGTTCAACTGGACAGAAGGAGACACTGATAACCCTTGTTTCCATGGACACAGCCTCCAGGGACTCCTGAAAACAAAAGGCCAGTCCTTGATAACCAAGAACTCACTGTATTGGCTAAGTACCCAGAAATTCTGCAAAAGGTACACATGTTTTCCAAACTTGAGGAGCATGGGGTATGATGAGATCCCCAGCTGTGCCTGAAGAGTGTTCCTTTCGATACTTCTTTGAGATTATAACATAATTTCACATTTGCTATGCCCATTTCTTCCTCCCAGACCTTTCCAAAACCCCTCCTTCCTGCCTTTCAAATTCACGGCCTTCCCCTTTTCTCATTGTCATGTACATGTATGTATACGCGTATATATTCCTAAATGCAGCCTGCTCTGTCTGTATAGTGTTACTTGTACGTATGTTTTCAGGGCTGTCCATTCGCTGTTGGTAACCAGTTGGTGTGCTCTTTCCTGGGGAGGACTATTTTTCCTGCGTCCCTTAGTTGCCTGTCCTGCTTTGTGTAGTGTTGAGGCCTTGTGGGCTTGTCTTATCCCTGTCCATTTTGGCATGTCTGTTATCCTTGTTTAGAGAGTCATGTTTGTGTGTCTTTATGGTATAGCTTCTGATGTTAGGACACTCAATCCCATAGCAAACTCCTCTCACAGTCCCTCCTCGGCTGCCTCCTCTGCTATGCGTGTTGAGCCTGAGATGCAGGAGTACCTTGTAGATGTATCCATTAGGGCGGGCTCCACACCTCTACATTTGGACTGGTTGTGATTTTTTTGGACAGGCCTGCATCTATTACAAAGAGAAGTTCCCTCCCTGAGGGCTAGGGCTACACTTACCTGTGGATGCAAGGACGGCAGTGTAGTTAGGAATGGTGCTGATTATGGGTTTTCATTCCTTAAAAAACAAACAAACAAACAAACCCTCAGGAGTTTAGGGCCACACATACATATGGATCACACTTCTCAGAATGACAGCCAAGGGATGGGTGCTTACTTGTCTCCTGTCCTGTCCCCAGCTTAGCAATCATGGACACTGTGAACACAGAGTTTTCTCTTCATATAATTAAGGAGCTGCAGCAAATTTCCCAAGTTTTCCCTTAAGTCATAACACTGTTTTAAATATGTCTACTGGCAAAGGGATTTTGGGGTGGTCAGTGGATGAATCTCTGAATTACTTTTTAAAGATAACTTACCTTTCTTCCTTCACATTCTAGCTATTGTAAACATGTGACAACGTATGAAGAATCAAATTTTTCTCTGAGTTACCAGTTTATACTAAGTATCTTCTCATTCTTACTAAGAGTAAAGACCTCTATTCTCCATGAAGAAGTGAGCTTAATTGAGAAGAAACTTTTTGAAAAGAAATACAGTGAATCAAAAAAGAGATCAAGACCCAAGAAATTAAGAAGACACTGAGAACCAGAGAGGGGCTTGTGTAGAAGAATGTTCTTTAGGGGTAACTTTGGATCTTAGTGCCACAGTCCAGGGAATTGTGGGAAATACATTATTGCACACACATACATATTGACACTTTATATGCATTGTAAAATAGGTGAACTTTGAATTATTTTCATGAATACTTTTTTCAGAAAATTAAAACATTAATTACATAAATGATACCTGGAAACTTGTATTCATTGGATTTTAAAGCTTAACTTTCTTTTTTCCAAGATTACAACAAGCCATTTAGTTCAGACCTAGAATTCAGTGTATAGCTCAGGCTAGCCTGGAACTCACTATTGTAGCCCAGGCTAGCCTCAATGCATCTCCCATATCCAATCAGGGATTACAAGACTGCACCAATGTGATTGTCTATGAATTTACTTCTTATATTAGATTATTCCTTACTCTTTATAAAGTTAATCCCAGGGGAATCTAAGGTCTAAACAAAAAAGCATTCATGCACACATATATGTAAAGATTCTGAGGAAACGTATGGATGCTTCCATGGTCCTGCGACTGGGAAGACCTGAGCTTACCTCAAACCCAGAAGCCTGGGAAGATGAGCAGCATCACCATGACAACCAGCAAACTGGGCAACATATCTGAGCATACAGTGGGCAGAGGAACAGTTTATTTAATGTATCAATGGTGCTCACAAAGCAACAGGTAAAAGGCTAGGGGAATTGAAAGGCAAGCTGAAAAGATCTGCTCCTCAGCCTCACTCAGAGTGAAGAGTTTTCCACATAGTATACAGAAGTGTACACACGCTGAGGATATTGACAGTTGGGCATTCTTATTCAGAGTTATTGTGGCTGGGAATGCTAACAACTGCCGTGTTCTGGTCATGATCTAGGCACCAGGGGTACAGCATTGAACAAGTGCCCTGCTTTAAGAGCCCCATGATTGACTTGAGCTCATAGTATGTCTGACTTATGGGGAATGAAATCAAGCAGGAACAAGTGGGGTGACTGACAAACACGATTGAGAGGGACCTTCCACAGAGGTGACATTTGAGCGGAGACCAACTCTACAGCAGAGGGAACAAGATGTGTCACCTCAGGGAAGATCATCCATGACGTAGGGACCAAGCACAAAGATGACAGATTCAAGAACAGCCAGCTCCTGGGGATGTCGGGTAACAGGAGGGAGAGGGTACAGAGATAGGGCAGAAGAGAGGGGCCATGTCATTCAAGGCCACGAGAAGAATTTCTAGCCCGGTTTGTCGCGGGAAGCTTTGGGGGAAATAGAAGCAAAAGCCTGAGGAATTCTTTTTACATTTGCTGGTTTCAGGTTTTGTTTTGGAGATCAGTAATGAATCCAGTCGTTTTTTTGACATCTCTGCGGTGATCTGGTGGTCTCATTTTAGTCAGTTAATGTTGAATCAACCTTGCATTCCTGGGCTACCCCTCACTTAGCCTTGACCTGTCATCTGTTTTGTATATTAAGTTTGGTCTCTGGAAAATGTGTTTAGATTTGTTCGAGACAATATTTTGATAGCCTTAACTCAATTCTCCTATCTCAGCCTCCTAAGGCAGCTGGGATTAGAGGCATAGCAGATACACTAAAATTTTGTTGATGAGTCTTTGTTCTCTGTTCATGAGGGACATTCTGCAGTTTTCTTTTGTATGGCCTTGGATTTCTTGAGATCTTATCATGTTTTCCATCAATGGGACTGTGGCAGTCCTTAGCTCTGACATAACCAGGAAGGAGTCTGCTCCAAGACTGCCAGGTGACCTACTTCACCTGCAGGGCTCCAGCTTTAGGCACAGGGGCTCAGGATCCGGAGCAGCAGGTGGTAAGGCTGTCAAAGCTGACAGCCTACCATTCTGCAAACCCCCGACTCCTGCATTTTAATCTTTTCAGTGAACTTTGACCAAGTTACTATTCTTTACACACAAACACGATCATGTGCACTGGTACAACTCAGCCACTTCCTCTGTGGAGTGCCAGCGCACTGCTGTCTACTCGTCATAACCCTCTAAACTGTGTGTTCTTTGGTAGTTTGAGGACTGGCATTGCACTTAAAAGGAGTGTCTCCCTGCAGCCTTGACTCCCATGCACAGCAGCAGTGGGCATTATTGTGGGTTATAGTGCTGCTTCCAAGTGGGTGAAGTGCCTCTCCTTGTCAGGTGTGGTTTCAGGGGGCACTCAGCAAGCCTGACATTGACACTTAGAAGAGAAACCACTCCGAAAGCTGCAGTGGAGGGGAGAGCCCAGGACCTGGCTGCTGACACCTGGCAGCCAGCAGATGGTGAGTTGGCCTGTAGAGTGCCTGTAACTCTCATCCCCACACCCCAGCTCCATTCACTGGTGCACATGCGATTCTGTACACACAGAGAGATACTGCACGACTGTGATCAGCGTTTCCAAGCACAGCTGCTGTAAAAGTTGCTTGAGGTCCTTGAATGCTACAGATAGCTAAGAGTAGAGATTTCTATCTCAAGTGTGTATGTAGCTGGTGAGGGTTTTTGTTGTTGTTGTGTTTTTTTAACTTAAAATGCCTCTGGGTTCTTGAAAGCTGAGTAAATTCACACAGTTCAGTCTCCCATAAAATTCACTCAAGGAGCTCTTAGCATGTGTTCAATTGTTTGCCACCTTATGTTGTGCCAGCTTGACCTGCTAATACCCATAGCCAAGAAGACTCTGTAGATAAAGAGCTCTGCAGTTTGGTTCACTTGGCCCTTGGCTCTTTGGGGTAGTTATCTTCCTTTGGAACAACCAGTGCCTGCCTTATGAATCTTTGCAGGGATCTGGGTAGCTGGTGAGTACTCCCAAGGGCCTTTAAAGTCAAACTACCACCTCAGTATAATTACCCTTTGTCACCGTTGTTCACATTAATTGCATTAAGTGATTAAATTTTACCTGAAGCAGAAAGGATAGTTTCTTAATTTAAAATCACCCAGGATTGGGCTGGGAAAGGGCCTGCTGCACGAGCATGAGGCCCTGAGTTCAGATCCCCAGCACCCAGGTAAAAAAGCCTAGCTGGACAGCACAGCTGTAACTCTAATGCTGGGTAGGAGCCTAGATAGGCGGATCCCCACGGCTCACTGGCTTGCCTGTCTACACATACCAGACAGAAGGAGGGAGGGACGGAGGAAAGGAAGAAGGGAGGTCGGTCTTAGGAAGAAAACTACCCCCAAGGCTAAAGCAGTAGGAGGATGGAAGATGTTCCTAGTTTTTTCTTCTTAGAAATCCATACCAGAAGAAAAATCTTTCTGGAAAGGCCTGTTGAACCACTCTCCCCTCAACCTCCAGGCTCAGGGCAGCCAGCTCCTCTCTACTCCATAACTGGTTTAGCTGTCCTTTTGTGGCTTGGTTTCAGCTGTCTCTGTGTCTAGCTGACATGCTTTGCACAGTGCAGTCCTGCATCAGATGAAGGGGAAGAAGTATCCCAGAGTCGTTCAACAGGGAAGACAGAGTGGATGGGTCATCCACCCCCCTACACGTGCCCCTTTGGCTCTGCTTTCCCAGGATCTGCAGCTGGCACCTTCTCCCTGTGCCTCACCCTGTACCTCCTTCCCTGACCTTGCTCCCTGACTCTTCCTTGGCACCTGAATACTCCTGTCTTTCAATTACTCAGCACCTACAGTACATCTGACTTGGCACATTAAAGGTTGGCTTGCCTGGGTCCTCTTGTACAGGGTCATCTCTTGTGGGTCCTTAGAGAACCCTGTTGCTGGTAGATGCTCCAACCATGTAATAACTAAGAGGGGGATGTCGATAACTGCTCCTCCCTCCAGCAGCCACTGCAGGACACTTGGCACTGTTTAATGAACAGACTCATCTGTATCCTTTGAGGGTTGGTTTTGAATCACTCTTGAGTTCCTTTTTGAGACAGGGTTTCTCTATGTAGCCGTGGCTGTCCTGGAACTCACTCTGAGGACCAGGCTGGCCTCAAACTCACAGAGATCCATCTGCTTCTGTCTGCCAACTGCTGGGATTAAAGGTGTGCGTTACCACCACTGTCTGGCCACTCTGAGTTCTTAAAGAGAGAGGGGAACTGGGCTTCCATGGCTATCAAATAGCTGCTTCCTGCCTAGCGTCACAAGGCCCTGCTCTAGTGCTGCTTATCCTCTTACCTAACATGACATGGTACCCCATTATTTAATACTCGGCCTCTTAACTACCATGATGTGGTACATCATTATTTTATACTCAACTTCTTAACTGCTATGATGTGGCTCCCCATATTTTGTGAGTGTGAATATTGAGACACCGCGTTCATCAATTGCTCAGGGTCAAACAGAGAATCTAGATCTGATCCCAGGCGTCCTAGCTGCAGAGTCCCTGGGCTGCATCCACTCACAGGGCTACTTTCTCAATTGAGGATGGTATGGATGAATACACTGCCCTCAATCTAAAGAAATCCTCAGAACCACCCCCACCCTCACCCCAAACCTGATCTCCCAGAGGTGTTCCCTGCCTTCCACTCACACCAACTGCAAATCTCTAGTCCTCTCTGCCCAGCTCAGATACACCCTTCCCTCTCTACTAGGGGGATTGCAAAACCTCCCTTCTCTCTAGGCATTTATCATTCCTCAGCCAGTAATTTTCTAAAAATAGATTTACTAGCACTCTGGGGCTCCAAATCCTCTGATGGCTCCTTGCTGTCTACAGGCCCAGTGGCTTGTCACTGGACCATGGCTCCTATACTCCTTCGCACCTCCTGCCTCATGTACTCCTGGGCTCAGACAAGCCATGGCATCTCATTCCCCCAGGCTCTTCCCAGGGCTGGCATTGCTGTGAGGAATGTCCTCTCTCTTCTCAGAAGAGCTTTTCCTCCCTGGGAACCCTGTTTAGATGTCACCTCCAGCCAGCCTTCCCCAGCTTGCCCAGCTCAGCTCCCCAGGGAAGTTCCTTGTTCTTAGCACACACCATGGTCAGTGAATAAAAGGCATTTGTGTAGTTACAGTTCCTTAGACAGAAGACTGGACAGTAGGGGTGGGGTCAGCTGTGCACACATGGGTTCAGTGCCACAAGCCAGGTAGATCAGATCAGCATGTTGTCTCCATGGCCCTGAGGGCCCAAAAGACTTTGGGTTAAGAAATTCAAGACCTTTTATAAGAATTAGAATTCCTTCTGGGCAGTGGTGGTGCACACCTTTAATCCCAGCACTGGGGAGGCCAAGGCAGGTGGATCTCTGTGAGTTTGAGACCAGCCTGGTCTACACGAGC